CTAAACTGTATGATGGCGTAGTGTAACGTCACTGTGATCGATTCATCTGAGTAACACATGAAAAAGAATCATATACTTATCGCTTATCACTAACACATGACCGAAACTAATGCATGCACTCATATGTCTGTTACTCATAACACCTATCACCTCATACTTATATAACAGGTAGCTGTGATTTCGGCCACATTATACTAGTTCGGGTTCATTACGATACGTTACATCGGGTCCCTTCTTTTGAGGTTTGATATTTTCAACCATAAGGTGCACCTGAAACTTCCCCTCTAGGATCGGATTAGGCGCAGTGAAGTCATCATATTTTTAAATTGAAATGATTGTAAACGAGTCTATCATCTCATTTTCACGAAGATATTTAATAGGAGTCAGCGTGTGGAATGCTCAGCAAAATTTCAAGCTCCTTTATGACTTTTTTCGGAATATACACAACTTTTCCTCCTGAATCCCTCCGACTAAGATACTCAACTAATGATGATTATTACTAAGATGTTCACTGCAGACTGCTTGGAAAATTCTGGATGAATATTTACTTTAATTTCCCCAATTTTCAGCTGAACGTAGATTGTAATGAGTGATTCCTTCGATAATCCCTCCAGTAGAAATTAGAGCGGTGCTCGAAATTCTCATGTCAGGATACTCTTTCTTTGCTCTAAGGACTGTTTTCTGTTCGAAACTGCATGATGACGCAGTGTAACGTCACTGTGATCGATTCATCTGATAGTAAGTAACACATGAAAAAGAATCATATACTTATCGCTTATCATTAACCCATGACCGAAACTAATGCATGCACTCGTATGTCTGCTGACGTGCAGTTATACCAGTATGAATTTTATTTGTAAAATGTCTTTATAAGAAGAATGTTTGACTATCTTTCCGGTATTTGATCACCTCATATTTACAATATTGCTTCTCTATAAATATCCTTTCAACCAATCTTCAAAAACGTTTTCTTTCAGCTTCGATCCTCACCGAGATTCTTGAACTATGACTGCGACTAGACTAGATTTTTGCGCCATCAAGATCGCCTCTATTATTTATTACATGACAGTATAATAATTACAATCATAGTGTTTTCTTATCGTGACATGTTGTATGCGAATATCGTTGCAGCACGATCACATCGCGACAGCTTTTAAAAAATCCAGTAATGTGTTTGTTTGTCACCCAATTTTGAAATCACTTATTCTCAGTTCAGATTCACTCGATGCTGTATCCCTATGAAGTGTTTCTGATATTTGTGGGGTTTCAATTACTTTGCTGTATCGGCCTGTTCGTATGCGCAGCTTGCGGGTAAGTACCATCTTTTCTTTTTTTTTGTTTGAGAACGCATCGTTCTCTAAAAATTCAGCCGCAAAGCGCGTTACATGTCAGCGACAAACAGACGAAAACTCTATAGAGGGACCTATTGCTTGCGCAACCATTTTTCGTAATGGTTTTTCTCAATGGTTTGCCTCAAGCAACGATATTAACTGCTGAAGGAAAGATTCGCTCGGTCGGTGGTTGTTTGGCAGAATCCATTTTCGAATGCCAAACATTCCGTTGCAGTGAACATTCAGCCGGAATTGGGCCGAATTTCGGCAACAATTAACTGAATGAAGTTCATTTGGTCAAGCCGCATCAAATGTTGCACTTCCGGGGGTCAGTAGCATTGGTGCAAATTCACGAGAGCACTCTGTGTTCTAATTCACATTATAAGTTCACTTTACGGTCAGCATCAGAATAGTGGATTTTGGTGAAAACTGATCCGAATTTTCAACTTCATATTACCATTTTTCTCGGACAACTTATATTCAACGTGAACGCTTCAGAAAATATCGTGAACGAAGATTATATCTATCTCGACGGCATTGCGGTCCCATAGCAACAGTCCATCCTGTACCGTTCGTAACGCCAGGTTTGTTCTTTTCGAGTTCAGCAATTTACCGGCAGTTTTTCCGTTCTACTCGAAATCAGCATCGCTTCAGGATTTTGATTGATTTCACTTCACCAAATAAAACTTTTTAAAAATTAACTCATTCCGAATGCAGATTTCTCTTTTTGCGCTAGCGTTCCATTTCACCCACTGCGATTATTCTGAAGTCAACGATAATGGAAAAAAGTTTCAAATTTGAAATTAAGTGTCAATATGCTGCTTATTGCTGCATCCTTAACCGCTTTCTCTCATTCTTGATAACTTCTGCTTTGGTTGGAAGAAGTTCTTGTATTCCCAAATTTAACTCAAGTTTCAGGAAGCGCATACCCGGCGTATCCCCCACCGCCACGTAATCCGTCATTATATGAGGCCAGTCAGTCTTCTTCAGCGGTAATCTCGTCTCAGCCCACGATCAATCAACCCAACGCAAACGCCTCAATCTGTGCTGAGCAATTCATTGCCAACACCGATACGTCACCACCCCCGCCCTACTGTAGCGCCGTAAACCCACCCAAATCATCGTCATAACTCGTTATCAATGCTTCACCAATGCACGCAACTAATGCACCTTGCAGTGAGTCGAAAGTGCTTTTCGTGTTTGAATCTATGATTTTTTAAACGATAAGAGCCGGGGATGTAACTGCCGATGCAGTCAAACATATGGAGAACACATTTCGCATGCTACTCGAAACAAATCAATGAGAGAAGATCCCCTAAATTGATTTCTCATGTCACTCTCTTTTCCGAACTTGGATAGAAAATTTTCGAATGCTCTTAGCAGAGTTGAGATTTTATTGTGAAGTAATAGGCAAATGATTTTTCACTGAATGATTTTCGGTAATTTTTTTGAAATTTACCAAAATGAACTGAAATGGAATCGGTTACAACTACTTCGATATCTATTGATCTTTCAGTGGATCTGTAAATAGTAATGATCATTTTCGATCTATATTGTATGTAATAATAGATGTGTTATGAAGTTGTGTATGTTCACGTTTTGTAAATTTATGCATGTTCGCTTAATGCAATTTTATGTAATTATTTGAGTTCACATTCATTTGATGATAATCATTGAATTTGTTTACTATTTCACATGACAATATATGTATTATCAACGTATGTAAGTTCACTGCAAAAATGCAAATAACATATGCCTTATGTTTTCGTTGTGTGTGTAAACAGGATCTATCGCACGGTACTTATTGAAGACCATCTCAGGTCAGTCGAATAGTTGCCGAAATTGCTCTGCCAAAATGCTACCTCAATGTGATGGAATTCCCCATTGAATGAGTTTCGAATTCCTGCTCAAACACGCAGTACTTAGGAGCATAACTTGGATTTTTCAAGGCAATTTCGGAATTCTTCCACAATTTTATACATCATTTCAACATCGCTTGATCATTTGGTGGCGGACTATACTATAAAACGAAATGATCTGATGACAACTTCAACTTGGTTGCCTTCGACGAGGCAATCTTGTGCTGTTTCCTGGACATTTTGTATTGGTAAGATGATCGCATAGAAGTGTTGATCGATTGAATGCCAATCCAGTCGGGCAGACAAAACTGTACGAAATACCTCCGGCACATCGATAGAAGCTGTGGCAGTCTTCGATATTCGGGAAGAAGCCATCTGTTTCACAACGGTCCACTGAAACATGGCTCTATTACTTATTCACTCTAACTCAGATGTGCGTGCAATCGCAGATGCATTCGAACAGATGAGCAACAGATCAATCCACTGCATCCTACGGGAATTAGTTTGAAAATTTTCACCAATAACACAGCGATCGTCACATTCGATGTTGTACATCATGTAATTTATGTACTAACTCAAAGTGTTGTCCATGTATGAATGACTGCTGAATACAAATCAC